TAATGTTATATTGTGCTTGCGGTTATTATGGCTAAGGCAAGGCTATGTTGTAATGTTACATTAAATAAAAAAAATAGTTGTGCTACGTAATGAATATTTTAGTCGTAATTAAATAGAGTGAATTAACCGTTACAAGGTAACTACATGAAAAACATGCAAATTCCAAAGCTCACAATCCTAAGCAAATACCACAATAGTGTTGGATTTACATGGACACAACAATTCCGGACAACACAGGACAGTCACAAACACTAAACTTGCCTTCAGTTGGTTTGTTTGTGGTTGGAATGTCCTGTGTAGGCCCACATGGAGAGCAACTTGTACTTCTGTGGCAATCGTTTGTCCACGAAATTGAAACCTTAATTAACTTACCTGTAAGAGAAGTGGATAAAACAATAAACAAGTTGAATAACCCAAGCAATTTCAAGTGTATAGGAGCGTATATAGTGTATATAGGAGTGATTTTGACTTAGTGGTCATCTTAGAACATGATTTACGTGACTTCTGACTTTTCATCCTCTTAGAACATGATTTACATAACTTTTCATCCTCATGATTTACATAACTTTTCATCCTCTTAGAAAATGATTTACGTGACTTGTTATCCTCTTAGAACACGATTTGCGTGACTTGTCATCCTCTTAGAACATGATTTAAACATGACTTGTCATCCTCTTAGAACATGATTTACGTGACTTGTCATCCTCTTGGAACATGATTTACGTGACTTGTCATCCTCTTGGAACATGATTTACGGGACTTGTCATCCTCTTAGAACATGATTTACGTGACTTGTGACTCGTTGAATTTGATTTATGTGACATAACAAGGTGAAAATTGAAATTTCCAAAATCCTGTGCAAAACGTATTCTCAGATTTTTTCCTCCGACATCAAAAGTTTTTAAGGCTGGCTTTATTTGCTGCAATGTATGCCTTAAATATCTATAATATTAAAACGAAACAGTGTTTTTTTATTTCACGATTCTGAATCAACCACTCGACGAATTTTCATGATTTTTGTGTTGAAAGAAAGATAATTTTGAGAACTAGGGAATGTCGAAGCCATAATTTTAGTTTAAGGTCCCAGTTTTTTAGAAATTAAGTTTGAATTTTTAAAAAGTCTAGCAGCCGACGCCATGGATAAAACATACTTCCTTAGTAAATTTCTCATCCTTATGGAACAGCTGAAGACAATTTTATTGTTAGTTCATGTACGGTTTATGTAGAGGTCGTGTTTTGTTTACAATTTGTTTCCCGTTATTACAGCCATTTAAAACCACGTTTAACCAAATAATACGAGGCATGTTTTTGAAGTAAGTACCGTTTCTAAACTTCTCCGTTCCAGCGCTGCTATTGGCATTTTGGACATTTGCGCTGTATATGTGCATCTATTGGCAAGCCCTAGCCGGAAATTTGACAACAATCGGCCGTGTTTACACCCGGTATCGAGCATTCAAAATGGTGCCGCCAATTTGAGACTGCCGCCGACTGTGAAGTGCGCGCTGTAATTAGATTTTTATGTTCTAAAGTTGTGAAAGCCATTGAAATTTGTCAATAGCTTAGGGAGGTGTATGGCGAGAACATTTATGAGTGACGGAATGGTACAAAAGTGGGTAAGGGCATCTAAAGACGGCCCCACCAACGTTCATGATGAGCAACGCACTGGGTACTGGGGACAGTGACGCTGCCCAGTGCGTTGCTCATGATGGACGTTGGTGGGGCCGTCTTTAGATGCCCTTCTGTGTTCGCTGGCCCATACCCACTTAAGTACCATTCCGTCACTCATAAATGTTCTCGCCATACACCTCACTAATCTGTCGATAAATTGCAATTGCTTTCACACCTTTAGCTCTTAAAACTCTAATTACAGCGCGCACTTCACAGTCGGCGGCAGTCTCAATTGGTGACACCATTTTGAATGCTCGATACCGGATGTAAACACGGCCGGTTTTTGTCGAATTTCTGGCTAGGGCTTGCCAATAGATGCACATATACAGCGAAAGTGTCCAAAAGGCCAATCGCAGCACTGCAACGGAGAAATTTAAAAACGGTACTTACTTAAAAAACATGCCTCGTACGATCTAATCATAAACAATAACTTGTCCCCTAGTTATATAACCAAGCAGTAAAGCACAAATAAATAAATTAACCCTAAAATAACGGAAACAAAGTTTCATCGACACTAGCGCCTTTGTGTCACTTACATGAACTTGACACGAAAAACGTGCTTCAAAATTTACAATGGGATGAGAAGTCTCTTTGTGTTGGTTAGTCTATGCCGACGCTAAGATTCTAAACTAGCTTTTGGCATAAAATAATTTGCTTAACATAACAGCTGGTAATATTCAGCTTTTGTGTCACAAATTCAGCATTTGGATAATAATTACATGCATAGGGTTGACTTATTTATACTATGTGTAATGCTATGCTTATTGATACGTCCATTTTATGGGTAAGAGGATGGCAGACTATTTAAATATTCATGGTAAAATATAGATGTTCTATTTATTTTTTAGAGCAATCTTTAAAATTTTAAGTTTGTTTTAGTGCAATATAATTTGTTTTAACTAACAGCTGGTTGAATATAAAAGTTGTCTTTCAAACTAACAGGTTAGTTTATTATTCTGGGATGTTGGCATTGAATATAGAAAATAAGTAAGATTCAAGATTCTATAACCACTGATGTATACAAATCGAGGCTCTGCCCCCCGAGTATTCAAAGGAAAAATTATGCAAATTATTTTTCTGTTCGACTTTTTGAGGAAAGAATAGGAAAATAACATTGTGTACATGTTTTAATTCATCTTGGCAGCTTTTTGTTTACAGGAAATGGTTAACTGCTTGAACTTTGCTTGGAATAGAAATGGAAATATTAATATAATTTCAGTTTTAGTTGACTTTTCAATCCCGTACGTAGGACGGGCCAACAGCTCGTTTGGTTTTAAATAAATAATATTTTACCAGATTTATAATATTGGTATATCTGTTTGATAAAATTGAAAAAGCTTATATAGAAAATAGGTGTAGCGGCGTCTCCACCAAACCAACACCAAACAATGTTTGGCAGCTATCACAAATGTCTGTCGAACACTGTTCGGTGTTGGTTTGGTGTTGTTTTGATGAGAAATTGTTGTTGGCTGTAAAAGTTCGCTCCTGCAAGAAAATCTCGTTTCTGGATGTACTAATCCTATGGAGTGATGAAAAACTAGAGTTTAATATTTACAGAAAACCAACCCATAACAATAGGTTTATCACTCAAGATTCTCTTCACCCTCCAGAACAAAAAAGGTCAGCTTTTTTGCAAGCACTACCCATACCAAACAATATAAAGACATCAAGAAAACGTTTAAGAAAAATGCTGAATTTATGGTTTAATTTAAGGCAAAAACAAAAAGTTAAAAAATATTCTTGGAAATAATAAAAGTAAATTAGAAAATAAGACACAATATGGCATTTATCAAATCCAGTGTGACAGTTGTGAGATGAAGTATGTTGGACAAACAAAAAGAACACACAACAGACTTGAAAAATCTGCAAATAGCAAAACATTGTTTAGAAACAGGCCTCACAATTTCAATCGAAAATACTAAATTACAAAAAAAAAAACCCATGAACTAAATTGCTGGGAATCATTATTTATAAATAAAATGGACAGTTTAGTAAATAATGATAATGGTCCAATTCAAAATGTAACATTACTAAATTACAAATTTACAAAGTTATAAGTTAAATTTACTTTATATTTCATTTTTATGCACATAAATTGTTTTGGTAACTTTACCTAAATCTACTTAACAGAATATCTTTTTTTTATTTTTAACTTCCCATATATTAAATTTTTAAAATTTATTATTGTAAATATAAACATAACCTTCAGTTTTGTGATGTTTCTGATGATGCCAGCATAGCTGGCAAAAGGCCTCATAAAATTAAAAATTCATTAAATATTGGTGATGTTTTTATTTTAAATTGGAAACCTAATTAGTTATAAACTAATTAGTCATAATTACCACAGGTATTTAATTACTTACTTATAAACTGGCTCTGAGACAAACATGCGACACAGGAAAGTAGAAAGAAGAGTTTGTAAACAGAAGACATCTCTAGGCTGCGACCTTAGACACACAACAACAGTATACAGTGTGATGGCACCAACACCAACACTGGCACTGGCACTGGCACCGGTGCCGGAACTGGTTCAGTTTCATCGGCCAATGACGTCATCAGGAATACCAACAGTCAAGGTCATGATTGTTGCATCCAACCAAATTTAACAAAGGGCACTTTTCCCTATAGGAAAATTCATTATTAAAATTGATTTAGTTTTTTTATTGAAAGAGAAATAATGTTGAGAAAAAATTTTTGATAAGGGTTTTGTGAAAATTCAGAATTTAAAGGTTGGTGTGGGTTATTTGCAGTTATTTAGTTGCTGAAACTAACAATTTAAATTTACTCACACAGAATCAATCTGAACTTATTTTTAAGAATAACTTTTTCAATTAGAGTTAAGTTAATTGAAAAAGATTTCAATTTATCGAGGAAAATTAGTCTGATTTGAGAATATTTATGAATTTTAAGGTTGGCAGGTTATTGGTAGTGGTAGTTGTTATGCTATATTATTGCTCTTCTGTGCTATATTGTTGAACTTGGTTTAATTTTTTTTTAGTTAGTATATCTAATTATTCTTTTTATTATTTGTTGACTATAGTGTGGTTCCGCCCCAATAGGTATGAGGGATTTTTCTGTGCTGTTAGAATTTATTTTACTGTTGATGATTTATGAGACAAAAAATGTTAGATATTAACAATTTTTATGTAATCAATACGCATTTTATTTTCTAAGTCGCTTCAGTAATCATTGTTCCTAAGGCTCAAACTTATTTTAATTCATGAGTTTTCCTCAAATTCTATCCAGCCCTTATGGTTTATACATAAGTGAAAACACCTCTGTACACCTAAGAGTACTTTATGGGTTTAATTTCAAGTACACAAAACATCCAGTTCAATTTCATGACTACATTTATTGTAATTAGTACACCCAACTGAATGGCTCACAACTCTAGAATGTCCACCACAATGTCTGTGTTGTCGCCAGTTTTCTCAATACTAATCTCGCTACGGTATTCCGTGACGTGTTTTTCCTCTTTGGCCACACTTTTCCCCTCCAGTTCGGCTCTCTTTTTAGCCGCAAAGTCTTGCAGTTGCATTTTCTCGTTGAGTCTGCGCATTTCCTTGACGTATTGTCCCTCCTCGTCAGTCACCATACACTTCAGCAGCCCCTTCCTCCTCATTCTGTTCCATAAGTTCAAGTTTCCCTTGTTTTGGCATCCGAAGGGTCCGAGAGTATGAATGGCTGCATAATCTACACAGTCCACTTTCCCATCTCCATTGCAGTCCTGGGAAATAATATCAGTGTTACAATGATGGATGATCAATGGTAATTATTTAAATCTAATTGTGTGTATCTTATTCATGACCACATGACCACATTTGGCCTTAGGCTTGTGAGAAAGGTGCGGTCACACAGGGCACAGTGCCTTGGGGTCCCTGTTCTTGGTGTAGAATACAATGTTGTAAAAATTCTGTAAATGTTATTTCAATTATGAAAAATAAAATAATGGGGTATAAATGCTAATATAATACATAACTTATAATACAGGGTGATTCTAAACTATTGTTACACTTTTGAAACTATATAAATGAGAAACTATTCAACCCATCATCACGGGGTGAGAATCAATTGAAAGAGGAGATTCTAAAGTTTTGTTTGACACCACATTGGTAAACATAGTTGCAATGTTAGCATCTACAGACATTTTTAGATTTTAACTAGGGTTTAAATTAGTTACACAGTTTAAAATCTAGGAAAATCGCAACTTAAAAAAGTATGTCCACAATAAGGTGATTTAATAAAAGAAATTGGACAAGTTTATGCCTAAAAAATAGAAATGCTCTATGTGCCCCGCTCTGGCTGCACAGAACACTTATTCGATGATTGAAGTCATCCCAAACTCTAAAAAACTTATTAGTTTTTGAAGGTTCCTCACAGCTTACAATAATGACGGACAGCAATAACTGAGTGGTAAATTATAGAACTAATTGACCCCTAGTTGTATTACTTAAAATGTTTGACAACGTTGAGTATATATTTTGAGAGGTTAAAGTGTATAATTCATTAAAAATCGTAGTTAAAAACTAAAAATGTCTGTACAGGCTAATTTTGCAACTATGTTTACCAAAGTAGTGTCAAACAAAACTTTAGAATCTCCTCTTTCAATTGATTCTCACCCCGTGATGATAGGCTGTATTTGTTTTCATTTATAGAGTTTCAAAAGTGTAACAATTATATATAATCACCCTCTATACCAAAAATTACTTAATGCCATTTCGCTACCTAGTCTTCTTAAGTCCACGGCTCCACTAGCCGTTATTTGTTGCGTGACAAAGTGTGGTTGGTAGCTATCAAACAAATTTAGCTCCAATAGCAACAGTCTGCAGCGCGATTCATACTACAATGCGCTGCAGAACAAAACCTCACACGGAAACGGAACCTGTCTTATTTTTATGGTACACTTTGCTGCCACCAGGTTGTTCCACTAGCTGGAGAGGGCAGTACCGCGTCAAGTCTCAGTCAAGAGCCAACCAGCATATAGGCGCAAGGCACATTGACGCTATATGTTGAAAGTAAAGGCGAAGACAATTTCAAAATTTTTTAGACAGAAAGTTTTGAGACATTCGATACGGTAATAATAAAAAAAAACTTCTCTGAATTCTTTTAGCGAATTTTCCATAAAGGGAATAAGCTATTACCGTAGGTCTCATGGTAAGACCTAGACCCGGGACCGATTTACTTTTTCGTTTTGAGGTCCCCAGAGACCAAAAACACCATCCGTTCAAATTCATATATATATATATATATATGTGTCCGTTAGCGCGATAACTTGAGCAAAAATGATCCGATTTTGATGAAATTTGGTACAAACGTGTAAACCTACGTTTATTCGAACGAGTTCGCGAACCAGCATAATCGGACCATGGGAACAGTGGTTTATGGGGGTTTTATGGGGTAAAAATGGGGTTTTCCCATTTTTTACCCTAAAAACAAAACATTTTGCAATTTCTTTCACTACTATTTTGTAGAGCTTAAAAAAAGAAATAATTTAGTATATTGAAGCGCTCTTGTATGCCTAACAGTCACGGAGAAAATAAAAAAAAAGTGTAATTTAAAATTCCCATGTTATATTCTTATGGAGAAAATTAAAACTGTTGTAGTTTACTTGTTTATGGATATATATTGATAAAATTTGGCAAATTTATTTATTTCATCCTATACTATTGACATATGGTCAAAAAACACTTTTTACCTTCCCCGTAGCAGCAAACCTAAGCACTTGTTAAATCTAATGTTATTTAAATTGGGAATAAATATGTCTTATTTATGGAAATATTTTAGTAAAAATGTAATCAGACAAGTTGAAATTCGCTTAGTCTGCAGGTTTGCTGCGGCGGGGGTATTTTAGTTTGGTATGTACCAAATGGAACATCTCTTCAGAGTGTCTGATGCTTATTATTGGATGGATCCACCATTTTATCTTATATAATCACAGTACTTTTTTGTTGTCCTAAGACGCTAGGCACAAGCCCGAAATTGTTTTTCACATTACTTCAGGCTAGACCTAGGGATTGCGGAATTACCACTAGATAAAATCCATTGGTGACTTGGCAGGATTTGAACCCGGGACCTCAGGGACTGAAATCCCGCACTCAAACCACTAGACCAGCTCGCTCCCCCACTCTGAGTACACTACAAATATTAATCTGCAGAATTATAGATCCAGGGTTATGTCTACCTCCACACTTAATCTGCTAGTGAAGCTACGGCGCATGCGATGACGCTGCAGATGTTGATTCATACTCTGTTGCTTGTGTTAATGTAGAGCCACCCAAACGTCTATCCAAAATATACGGAAACCAGTGGAGCCACAGCCTTATTGTAAACTCAGTTAAGCGGCTGTCGAACTGGGGAACAATACGTGGCTCAGGACATGGACCATGGACCCAACCCTTGGCTCAGCATAGGTTGTCCAGAATTGTAGTAGCTGAGTACCAGCAGTTTTGCGCTCCCTTCAAACATTGCCTTAGCCACATACAGCAATTTTTGTACCTCTGCCGCATAAATCGCTTGTTTCGTATTATTTTTTGAACATTTTTTCATATCCCAATAAGCAATTCTATTGTGTTGTTTTTTTATTTGTAATTCCCAAGTTTTAGGGTATAGTTTGTACAGTTGTTTGCACTAAATACTGATTGTTATAACTTAGAAAAAATATGCATGTGAACTGTTGCTTCAAAAAATTACTAATTTAAACTAACAAAGCTAATTTGAGGAATGAACAAAGACACACAATCACTGCACTCAACCCAACAATCATCTGTTCGGGCTTTAAGTGATTTACCAAACAGGGCAAATAAAATATTCTTAAGATAGCTATACTCACATGAGGGTATTTTTGAAAATATTTTTTCATAGTTTCTGTTGCACACATCAAATCAAGGGAGCATGTTCTCCAATCATTCTCCATAGCAGCATCTCCTTTAAAATTAAACAAATTGGATGGATAAATCTTTTGTTTAGTTCCTTTTGTAAAAGTTAACTTTTACAGTTGAACCTCGTTTGTACGAACCTCGATAAAACAAATTCCTCCATAAGACGAATTTGTTTGTGACATGGGCTAGGACTGATTAACCTCTATACAACGAATATTCTTAGCACAAAACCTCTACAAGACGAACGTGACCTCTATAAGACGAATTTATCATAATCTTAACCTCCATAGTACGTAGTTTTCAAAACAAACAGAAGCTTGTCTCAACATGAAACCCCCACCCATCCCTCCTCCTTCCTCAGTCATTGTTTGGAGAAACCTTGGAGCGAGGAGAAACCTCTATAAGAAGAATAACAGCAGCATTAAACCTCGATAAAACGACCCTCTTTATTAAGAATACCTCCATAGTACGAATTTTTCCCGTACCCCTTGAAATTTGTCTTATAGAGGTTCAACTCTACTTCAAATATCATATGGATGTACAAATATTAAAAATACATCTAACTTCTTTCTTAGTTTGATAATATTTAAATCCCGAAATGACCAAATAAGTGTCTGTGTAATCATAATTTGCCAAGAATATATTTATTTTAAAACCAAACAACTAATTGTTTTCGGTTTAAGATGTGTAGCGGCCAAACGGAAATGTAGCTCTTTCAATGTATGTCTTGGTATGGCACAGTTATACTCTGCCATGGGGGTATATTTTTTTCATTGCTGCATACAGAAAGTTACTATTTTTTATAACAGCTGATATCAAAGAAAGTAATTGGTTACCAAGCTCTAATTTAGCTTTTGAGCTACAGCATCTAATACTACCTAAATCCAAATTCACGTTGTTTGCATCTGCCCAAAACGGAAAACTTATGTGGAATGGGCCACAATCTCCTCTTGAGAATCCGTCATCAGATGAAAAAAAGATATGTCTGGGCAAAACACATTCTCTGGTCATATCACAGTCAGTGGCAAAGTAACACAGGCAGTCCAAGCATTTCATCGATATGTCAATAACTTCTCCTTTGCCTAGAATTAAAAAAATGAGAAAAGTTAACTCTACCTTTGAAAGACGGGCCATCTGGGCGTTTGTAGTCTAAAGCATCTTCCCAAAACTCATAGGAAATTCCAAACGGATTGAAATTTGGTAAGCTGCAGCCAATGAAGCGGCAAAGACAGTCCAAGCAATGTGTGGAAAGGTGCCATTTACCATTTATTAGCCCTGGAGTGCAATTGTGAATCAGAAAACCGCTTGGAAAGTGATTATTTTAATTTCCACTATACCTAAAGCTAGTTAAGGTGTCAAGTGGATGGTGTATTGGAGGGATGAGGGAAATGCTTCCAACAACACTGAGAGTTTCAACACTCACTCGGTAGTGTAATTCAATTGATCCAAAGAAATTAATATTTAGGATGACCATGCAAGAATAAATCGACAGTATTGGGGAGAGGTTCTTGCACGAATGGTCATCCCGCTCCCTATTGTAATTAGCACAGATATTTTAATTTTAAATTAATGTGCTGTATAAAAAAAAAATGAATTACAAACAATTTTTAACCAGCTTTGTGTTTTAGTGTTTTATATCTGTGTTACAAACCTTATCATCGTTAAAAAAAAAAAAAAAAAAACAATCATTAGATAAATGATAAGGTAAGGATGATAATAATAGTTCTAGAGGAGGCAGCAAGAAACTATTTACCAGGAACTAGGAATACCCATCCTATCTGTCAATGACAGCACAGACTATAGGGTAGTTGTACCCACATAATATCCAATATTTGATCCACATACGATCAAAGTTATTGAATGTTATAGGCCCTAATTGATATGCTAACCACTGGACATTTTATCCTTGCAGAGTACTGAGACTTCTTAGCCTAAGTTACTCTCATATTGACCTCAACTATTCAAAATGTTCTTTTTGTAATTTGTTGTAATAAATTCTTGATTCTTGATTCAAAATGTTACACTCAAATGTTATACGTTTTATTAATGTTACATGAGTTGTAACAATTATATCCTTAATTACAGAAATGAAATAAGTTTACTTCTCCTTGAAACAAAATCTACCTTATAGGCTTGTATGGTTTTCACACAATATTTTGGTAAGTCCATGAAGCTATACAATTTTAACTAGCTCTAATACCAAGTTGGTATTTAAAACCCATTAATTCATATAAGTAGTATCATTTAATCATTCAAACAAAAACTATAAATAAATAAAACAAACTCACCAGTGTCATCAGTCCCACTTATTTTATGTTTCAAGGTTTTACTTTCTTCGCTGCTTTCATAATTTTCTTCATCTTCTGAATTTGTTTCTTCTTCAACTTTATTTTCAGAAGCAATTTCTGAAAAACAAACATAATCTAGATGAGTGTTTTACCTTTGACTTTGGATATTACACTGGACTAGACACTAGATATTACACTAGACTTTTCATCATATTAAAATCTGAACTGGAATTTATGTCTCTTTAGTGTTAACAATTTTTATCTCTGGTTCTAGGTTAGATTTCATGATCTGCCCTGTACTGTATTATATACCAAAAGGACGAGCTATTATTTATAATTAGATCATTTTATTTGGTAAACAGTTTTAAATTAGCTTAAATGACGAGAAAAAATATTAATGACAGCCAACTTGACTGGCTACACATTATCACATATCTTTTGAACACAAATGTACAGGTGTTAAAATGTAAGCCATTGGTGTTAACAGATTATTGGTCCTAATTTTTTGCGAAGGTATTGAATAAATTACAAATTTGTCTTACCATTGTTAAGATCCTCATCTTGTTGGATATTTTCAACCTTAGATGTTGGTGATGAAAAATCAGCACTATCTTCATTCGGGATTTTTGTTGCAGAATCCATTGTAGGACTCAATTCACTTATTCCTTCAACATTTGAATCAACAGAATTGTCCTTACTCAAGGTTTCTGTAGCAGAATCCTTTGCAGGACTCAATGTTCTTGCCTCTTTAACATCTGGATCAACAGTGTCTTCCTTTTTCAAGGTTTCTGTCGTAGAATCCTTTGTTGGACTCAATTCAATTGTTCCTTTAACATTTGAATCTACAGTGTCATCATTGGTTTGTGTAGCAGCATCCTTTGTAGGACTCAATTCACTTGTTCCTTTAACATTTGAATCACCTACATCGTTCTTATTCAAGGTTTGTGTAGCAGAATCCTTTGTAGGACTCAATTCACTTGTTCCTTTAACATTTGAATCACCTACATCGTTCTTATTCAAGGTTTGTGTAGCAGAATCCTTTGTAGGACTCAATGTTCTTGCATTAACATCTGAATCAACAGTGCCATCCTCATTTAAGGTTTGTGTGGTAGCATCCTTTGTAGGACTCAATTCACTTGTTCCTTTACCAATCGAATCACTTACATCGTTCTTATTCAAGGTTTGTGTAGCAGAATCCTTTTTAGGACTCAATTCATTTGTTTCATATGAATCAACAGTGTCATCCTTTTTTAAGGTTTCTGTAGGAGAATCCTTTGTAGGACTCAATTCACTTGTTCCTTTAACAATCGAATCACCTACATCGTTCTTATTCAAGGTTTGTGTAGCAGAATCCTTTTTAGGACTCAATTCATTTGTTTCATATGAATCGACAGTGTCATCCTTTTTTAAGGTTTCTGTAGGAGAATCCTTTATAGGACTCAAATTACTTTTCCCATCTTTAACAATTGAATTGACAGTGTTGTCCTCATTCAAGGTTTTTGTAGTAGAATCCTTTTCAGGAATCAAATTGCTTTTCTCTTTGGCGTCTGAATCAAGAGTGCTGACCTTATTCATGATTTCTGGAGTAGAACTCTTTGCAGGACTCGATTCATTGTTCTCTTTATTTTCTGAATCAATAATTAACATTTAATTAATAAAGCAATAGTAAAAATTTTAAAATGCAACTAAAAACTGCTTTAAAATTGATGTGAATCTTTGTCATTAACATAAGACAATACTGTCCTTCAAAATAGCTGTTCTTTAATTAAATTTCTCATCCCGCTATGGTTTGCAAACCGTACAAACCCTAGTCTTGTTACTGTGTTTAATATAAATCTTTTTGTTAGATAGCACCATCAATTGATAGCCAATGACAAAATGACATAGGTTAGAAACTATTCTTATTTATTATGGTGTTATCCCTAGTGGAAGTGATCAATATATATCAATACAAAAATTGTATATTGATACGTATTGATACGTATGTGTATTTGGGCCAATACACATCAATACACATCAATACATATCAATACAAGTAAATATAGGATCCGAGTCATTAGCTTAATTGAAAATAATTTGTAGCTTGTTAAAAAACAATTTTAATTTGTTTCAACACATTGAATCACATCTACTATGCACTAAAAATAAAATAAAAATGAAAAAGTAAAAAAATAATTGTCAAAAAGCTCTAGGTGTTCCCGAGATTTGAACCTGGGACTCCAGCATGGTAGCCGGATGTCTAAGCCATTACGCCACGGACGCTTCATGTCTGACTAAGTAATGATAGCCACTTTGAATGCGAGAAGCTGTGTTAGGCCTCATAATTAAACTTTGAAAAGATTTTTCAATGGCATTTGTGTCATTTCAATCATGTACCTATATGCTTTAACATGTTTCAAAACTGTTTTATTACCAGTTCAAACTGTTTTCTTGCTACTTGGGTGATGTGAATAGTGTCAATACAATTGATTTTTATTGATTTCTAGAAATAAGGAATTCAACTCAATAATGAATTTGTGAGTAATTTTTATCCCTAATAACCCATTAGGAAAGAAATTGTTAAAAGTTGTCGAAAGTTGTATTACAATTGTTGTATAACAATTTTAAAACATTTTGATTTAAACTTCATATTACAACAATGTTGATATAAGATTGAAACAATTTTAAAAATGCTTAACAATAAGTTTTTTGCAGTTGAAAAAAATAAGTTTCAATACAAGCTGTAACTGTTTTACAACAATTTTAAAATTGTTTTACAATCAGTTTTTTGAAGTTTAAGAAAATTAGTTTTAATACAAGTTGTAAACTGTTTTATAACAATTTTAAAATTATTTAGCAATCAGTTTTTGGCAGTTTAAAAAATAAGATTTAATACAAGTTGTAACTGTTTTACAACAATTTTAAAATGATATATTTTTAAATTATATTGAGTTTTAGGTACCTCAGCTAACGTCTATGACCTAAAACTAAAGTTTTTCCTTTTTTCAAAAAATAACATTTTTATTACTGTTTATTTAACCACTTTACATTGATATTTTGTATAATCCATAATGCTCATTTGTGATACATTTGAGAGATATTTTGAATTTTATTTACCCGTATTGATGTCTATTGATTTATATTTACATCTAACATATTTAAAAAATATTCTCTATTGATATCAATGAACGATTTGTTTGCTCTAATGATCTATATTGATATATTTTATGTTTATAGATGTCTAGTGATATGTATTGACTAAGTTTTCAGTGATGTCTATTTGTTTGTATTTACTTGTAATGATATCCATGAACATCTATTGATATCACTAAGCATCTAGTGATATCAATAGATTTTTTCTATTGATTTCTATTGATGTCTTCCACTAGGGATGTATTGGCTAACTTCACAAACTCTTTAAAAATATGATGTTTGTGGCAGCCATAATATTATGTAATGTTCAGGAATCAGGAACCAACTCATAATTTTTTTATCAACACTACAAAAAGTTACCACTCTTTGAAAAATAATAGCTGAAAAGTAGTACACGTTTATGAAATCAAACTAAGGATTTTAATATCATACAATGTGCATTGTAGTTTTATTACATTTTATTGAATAAAATTAAGTATGTAGTTTAAGAAAATAGAGTAACTTGATAGAGAGAACATTTTTTTTATGTAGACCAGCAGCATTTTATAAGGCAATTAGAGGGTGAATTGTTAAACCCCTTTAATCTTTGAAGATAAGCTTGGGATTGAATATGTCATCCTCACAACCCAGTTGAAGAAGCTAATAAATGAGTTTTGTATAGTTATGCATGCAAGCTGGTAACATTTCATTTAATTTTGGACACACATATTAAAATATTTGTTTTATTTACTGTTGGGTGAACTGCTCAGACACAATTTTTATTCTAACTTTATAAGTTCTTGTCATGATAACGTCTGGTCATGGACATATGAAATTACTTGTCAAATATTTGGTTACATTACTCAATAACATTTTGATCACACATAACGATAGATATTTATTATGACTAATTCTTCTGTTGGCGTGATATGAATTATACAGTTTTAACTTTCTTACCAACGTGTTCGCTTCCAATTGGTTGTTTTGTATCCAAAGTAATTGTGAAAGTTGAGGACTTGCCGTTTTCGCCCAAATTTTCTGGACCATTTGAAGGATCAGAGGGAAAACTCACCATCTCTTCCTGCTTCGTTTCTGCCACTATTATACAATGTTTCTTAATCATCTACTACAATATTTGTACTTAATGTGTGATGTGTTGCAATATGTAAAAAATACATAACGTTTTTAAAGGAGAAAATAAGATACATATGTTTGTTATAATTTAGGTGTTCACATAATATGGCTGCTGATATATTAAATTATAAGTCAATTAAGTATTTACTATATATTATTACTATATATTTAATTATAGTAAATAAAGCACAGCTACGACTACCCTAAAATAATGATAATATTAAAATGATAATAATTATATGAAAAAATATATAATAATAATTTCAGGGTGCTCGGTTGTGCTCTATTTACTTCTATAATTTAATATTTTTGCTAGTTAAAGTAAAATCTCATTTTAATTTTGGTGCTAACATTTAAATTTTAAATTAAGTATTGTTTTGATATAGTTTGAATGGATTATGCTACTTAGTAATTCACAGTATATAGATCTAAAATGATTTTTTTTCGAATATACTAAGTCTTCCTAATTACCCTAATTAGGTCTTTGATGATTCATCTAAATGTAAGTAGAGTAACTATAAATTTAAATGTTTATTTTCCTACTTTTACCATTACATATAAAACCTACTAATCTATGCATGGTATCCTTATAATCATTAACAAAATATCAACAACCATATTAACTGTATAACTGTAACTATTATATTAACTAAATCTTGCTGACCGTACTTACCAACTAAAGCAACAACCAGAAGCAAAATAGTTGTTGACTTCAACATGTTGGAAATTGTGTTGAGCCTTTGTCAGTCTGTGGAAGTATAAAATTGTAAAATTAATTTTTATTACTTAACAGTTTTTATACGTTCAATAATAAATAACCTAAGCATCGTTTTGACAGTATACACTCATAATTTAGTAAATGTGCAATTTAATATCATGTAGTCATAACATTTTATAACATTATACTTAAGAACTAGGATGGTTTAACAATATTTTCAGGTCGTGGTAATCTGAGTATAGTTATTTGTGCAACTAGTGAGCAAAGTGAGCAATTGCCTCACTCGAGAGAAATCCTTACTCACGAGTCGTAGGCGAGTGAGTAATGGTTTCTCGAGTGAGGCGATTGCACTTTGCACTCGAGTTGCACATTATATTTTTCCTACAGTTACCATAAAACAAATAAATTGGTAAAGAAACGTGCCTTCACATTGCAAATCTGGAGTGAGACAAAGTAATTAGAGTGAGACAATGTTAACATTGTCTCGCTGATGAGCGAATTGGCCACTTTCATGCAGTGAGAGAACATGTACGTTGTTAGGTAACTGTAGGAAAAAGTTATTAAAAGATAATATCAATGTTGCTGTCCCAATTTTTCATCAATGAGGAATTTCAGGTTGTAAAACCATATCAAATCATTATTTAAACATTTTAAATAAGTTTTTGTTATTCAATAAAAGAACACTCAGATGGTGGAATTATCATCCAGACTCACTCAAAAGCTTGATACTGTCATCAAAGTGCTAAACAAAAAAATAAAACTATTTTACCGTGTACTCTTTAATATAATCTGTTTAAAAAACTTATACTCACATAAGTAGGAGATATATTGATCAGCTTAATAAAATTTCAAGTCAAGTTAAGAGTCAAAGTAGAGTTTCTCACAGGTACAAACATTCACTAATACTAATATTAATGTACAAGTAATGTAAACCGAGCAATCACATCTGTTCACCACCTGTGCATGTAGATCAATTAACACATTTCTGTAGGTTATACTCATCATGTAGAAAAATATCACTCCAAACTCAAAAACTTTCCTAAAATCATCTTTAAAAACTATTACTAGTGTCATAAGTTTACTCACAATATTAAAAATTTAGAAACAAAAGATTGTAAAGCCTAAAAATATTGAATTACTAATTGCCTTTTTAGTGTTTTAACTTATTTTAAGTAAATTTTACAGGAAGGAAATTTAGGCAATTTTAGATTGGTTTTAGCACTAATACGAATAGGTTACCACTGATTGAGAACCACTGATTGAGATATTGTTCGGTACAAGTTTAAAAGGAATTGATAATGTAACTCTTGTTTACGCTTAAATTACACATTTGTACAAATATTTCTGGAGATGCACAGTTACAAAATTACACAGTACACTCATAAAAAGAGTGGGGGATGATTTCAATAGTAGAATTTAAATATATATTTAAAAAATAAACTATTAAAATATTTGATTCTTCATACTGTGACTCAAATTATGAAAAATTGTTTAATTAATCATGTTTCACCATAAGTTACTCACGTATTGACATCCTTCAACCTAGTGAACCTCGATTGTAAACTACGTGTTTACGTAAAACAAATAAAATTAAACACAGAAAACCAAGGAATAACCAAACTCCTTCAATACTTTCCAGGCATTTTACTGCGAACAAAAGTCAAGCTATTGCATCAACTCTTTACAGGCGTTGCACAATAATATCTTGCAGATTAAATTTTAACACAAACGAAAATATTATCACGTTTAATATAATATTAGGAGTTTTGTTTCTCTAAAACTTTTCAAAATAATTGACCTCTTTGAAAAAAAGATGGTTCTATATTTTTGTAAATGCCAGAAAACATAATTATGCCAATGCTAGTCAGTAATTAGTAATTTCCTTACGGCTTTTAAAATGCTAGAAACCATCTTGCCGTTAATAAATAGTTTATGTATAGTCAAGCCTACGTATATAAGACTAGTTAAATAATGTTATAGTTCCATTTTAAAGTCTTATCTTCTTAAAATTATTTGAACAGCTTTGTAAAAGAACACCACGAAGAGAAACCCCTCTCGCTTGTATAGTTTGCGTTCTGAATATTATCCAAACATACAAGTAAACAAAATTAAAGCGGGTTTTACCATCCTTTTCGATTTATAATATTCCACTTTATAAGTCATATCACTTGGATATTCATACGGGATATACAACTTCCTGAGCTGCATTTTTTTACGTCAGTGACATTTCACGAGAGGTCAACGAGAGAAATAAATGTTTAATGGTGGTGCCGGGAATTGAACTCGCCCCTCCCGCACCGAAGTCCGAGACTCTAGGCTAACAACAGAAGTACACACCACTTCCATCTTGTTTTATTGGTTACCTTTCAAGTCATCAGGTATCCGTCTACCATCTCTCGGTGTCCGGGAGAGTGCACCATGTTAATAATATGCAGGGTAAGCAGGAAAATTCGAACGTCTCTTGACTGCGCATAAAAACTTGCACCGTGTTTAAGACTGACCCCCGACCCTTGCAAATGCAGTGATTTCTCCCCGACTTGGAGTTTAAGTTGATATTAAACTCCGTGGAATGTACTTTTGGTATTTAAAATGCAGTCTAAGATAAATGTGTAGATATTCACTCTCCATTTGCATTATATTTTGTAACTCATTCCTGCATCACATGTTTTATACATACTTAAAACTTGTGCTTTTGGGTTTCAATTCCATGTTTCACGATGTTTTATTTTGTTTATTAGAGATCTTGGGGGAGTTTGTTTTGGCATTACAGTGTTATTCGAAACAATTAACCTATAATGCAACTTTTATAAAAACTATGTTGGTTGAAGATGAAAATAGGGGTTTAAATGTGATACAACCTTAACAACAATCAGTGTATTTAATCACTAGGGTCTGAAATGACTCTTTTGGACACGAGCTATTGGCCATTGACTCTTTTAACAATCGAGGTAGGTACATAGGGGTAAAAATACAACTTAATTAACTCAATTAAAACACTATAATATCGTGCATTGTTTACCTTTTGAATTTACTAAGAAATAAAGATTGTGTGTGTTGCTGTTGTGTACGAACAACTGTTACTGTTATAGAAAGCAACAAGTATCACTCTGCCAACACAATTGAAATTCGCAAAATTTATCTAAATATCAATAACGGATAATATTGGTGTTATTGTAGTGAAAATACAGTGTGACATGACAGTAAACCCCAAACATTTTGATAATGCAATATTTCTATCGAATGGGACTATTTTTCTTCAACAAATTTGCGGATGAATAAAAAATATACAGTTGATGTCCTTAAATCCAGCTAATTATTTTTAGCCTTTTTAACACCTTCTTCTGTATCCATACAACTTTATACTTTTATACTTTTCGATGAAATGGCGAGTATATCTGTACTTATAATTTGAGCGGGTTAAAACATCCTGTATACTGTATAAATTAAAATCTAAAGAATTAGATTTAAATTGATCTTCATATAATCAAGTTGGTTCATATAAACCAGTCTTCAAGATGATTGAATTCCATCATGCATTAGCTACATTATTTCCATTTTTCCGAAACTCACTAACTACGAGACGTTAACTGATGTGTCAGTGGGGATGAAACCTTCAACCTCAGAAAAAAATATACGAACTCCAACCTCATCTCCAGTTCTAAAACAAGCTCAACTGAAAACCACACAGAGATTGCTTTGAACCGAGGAAAATGAGTAATCCTCTGCATAAAAACTGAATCTAATCTCCTAGTGATCTTTTGCCCTCAACATTTTGACCCTGTTCTTCTCAATCAGCTTTGTTCGCCGGTCAGATTATTATAATGTGTGTCTTGGGGAAGTAAGCCAAAGGTCAAGATTGACCTTACAACCCGGTGACCACTTTCTCATGGGTTTGAGACCATCTTCGTCGGTTATTTGGACACATCATGTTTGAGAAGGAGTTGTAAAACCAGGCTAATTTAAATGTTCGACCAGTCATCGAGAAAATTGCCTAGTTATGGCCCTTATCAACAAGTTTGTATAAAAGCATTAACACATTTCCACGTGAGCCAATTATGTTAATTTTTTTCAGTAAATCTGGAATAAAAAATTAATTATGTTTTTGTGAAATGCGTTTATGGTTTAAAACATTTTTTATCTTGGTTTATGGTTTTAAATGCCATGTTGAGTATATTAAACAAATTATTTTATTATAAAACACGAGTTGTAGTTATATATCTGTGTTATGTATCTTTACTACTTTTTAAACTTGTATGGAAATTCGCAAAGGGAACCAAAACATCTTTTGATAAGCAAATAAAAGAAATTCATGCAGATAAAAATCTGTGTCTAGTTGCAGAACAAAACAAAACATATAGATATAAAACATCTTTTTAAAATACCACGTTTTTAAACAAACTAAGAAGTAGAAAATAATTTATAAATATGTGGAGAGAATAAATACTTGTAAGATTTAACACGAAAAACGTTGGGCGCTTTCAATAGCTAATTTACGATTATCTTAACCTTTTGAATTGTTATTATCTATTGCATGCGCCCCACGTTTTTCGTGTTACAAGTATTTATTCTCTCCACATATTTATAAATTATTTTCTACTTTTTAGTGCGTTTAAAAATGTATTTAAAAAATTATATTTATATTTTTTTGAATTTTTAGTCTTTAATGTGTAAATATGTTTTATATGGCAAGTTAATACAAACCTAACCCCTTTTAAATGTAATCAGATCTTGTTGCTAATATTCTTATAATCATTAAATGATATTGACACTTAATTGACACGTCTAAGGATGACACTTTAGGATCTCTCGGGAGCAGAACCTATACCTCTTAACCTCCGCTTTTTTAACAAACTGTCAAATTAAAGTATTTACGGCTGACTCCAATTGATATATTATTTACATTCTTCCAAAATGTAAACATTTAAACTTTGGAAGCCCATGGGACGTAGCCCAAGGGAAATATGATAATTAAATGATTTAATGTTGCATTGTCATCCATTTGTGAGCTATGTTTCAGGTTTCAAGTATCTAGCTCATCGGGAAGTTAGTTTAAAATCGATTGAAACATTTGAGCTAATAAAAGGGATGAAACCAATGTTATTAACCTGACTTAATCCTAATATTTCGTATGCGTCTTTTAAGGTCAGTAATATTTAAATTATTTTTCAATAATTTAGGGGAAAACGATACAACCTTTATAAACTCAAAGAATCAGTAAAATCAACTACGTTGAGGCAATGTGTATGTTTTTCTAAACAAATTTTACAAAAGTAAATCCACACAGTCAACATAAGATTAGCAAACGAACATTGAGGAAATACGGTTAGTTATTCTAAATTAACGTTGATTCCTAAAAGAAAACAAAATTAAACTCTAAGAACAAAGCTGACTTTTTGTAACGATTGTGTTTCAAATAAGTGAATATGTAGTAACCATAGTGCAGAGAGATTATGGTGAGCTCCGTCACAAATGGAGGGAGAGTGAATTAGTCTCACAAAACAACGACACTCGTGGATGTTTATGTTTGTTTTATTTAACAAAAAGGACATTATGTTAATGCTAGAGTCAGCTTTCTAATCACTTTCCCAGAGCAGACATTGGCTTGGAGCTGCAAAGGTCAAAGTCACGTGGTGAATGCGGTATCGTTATGATACTTAGTCATTGGAAGTGACTGAATAAGTTTTTATAGGACATTTTTAAATATTTATTTCCCTGCTAAACGAACGTTTGCTTGCAATTTCCTTAGTATTTGTGGGGGATTAGACATTGGTAGGAGAGGACCAAGTAAACTAAACAGTATTTGATCAGAACTATTTTCTTAATGACCAGTAATATTCTGTCTTTGCTGAATAGTTGCAACTGAATAGTTTTAACTTTTATTTTGAAGTTTGCTAGTGTACTGGCATAGCCACCTGGTGGCTGTGGTACTGGTCACGGCTTGATACA